AACTAGGGCCAGGGCCTTTTCAGTACTGGCCCCGACTTGGTGGAACGCTCTGTCACAAGAGACTAGGGCCCTGCGGGGCTTGACATCTTTCCGCAGGGCCTGCAAGACAGAGCTGTTTCGCCTGGCCTTTGGTTTGGACTCAGTCTGACCCTTATGTTTCCCTCCCCTTATGGTTTTGATCTATGGGCTACTTTTAAAATGAGGCTGCATTTTAAATTGCATTTTAACCTGTATTTTAAATTGTTTTTTCCCCCTGTTATGTTTTTACTGTAATTTTACTGGTGTTAGCCGCCCTGAGCCCAGCTCTGGCCAGGGAGGGCGGGGTATAAATAAAATTTATTATTATTATTAAACTGTATTAGGCTATTCACCACCACCACCACCAACCTGGGGAACCTGAGGGCATGAGTGAAACATGAGATCAACCATCGCACCAACCACTGTCCCAATAGGTTATGTACTTTAAGTAAGGTCACTTCCAGATGACCTGTTTATAAAGTATTCATCCTGATTTGTTTGCACAATTTTTGCAGGGCGGTTAGACAGCATCAGTCAGGGATTGGGGTAGCGTGCAACATTACGATCATTATTACCGAGGAACAAAACAAATAATTACACATGCTTGAGATGAATCGCAACTTACAAACAGTTTTCGGAGATTGCAACCAAGCACAGATTTGGCTGGTTAAGATATTTTTTTATTTATCTGATCTCAAAGCATCTGACAAAAGACATAAGGCACGTTCGAGACATACTCAAAACACAACAGCACCAAATTAAAACCACAATTAAAGAGGAAAAAAATCAATGCACCACTTTAAAAATAAAACACCAGCTGGGGTTACAAGAAGCCACATCTTTTCCATGACTGGGAATAGGTTCAACACATACAAAGCAGGAAAATGAGATTTATGCTTTCACGAAACCGATCCTTCGTTTTGGCAGGCAAATGCAGAAGGTGGGGAGGGAATCAGCATTCTCCTGCCAACTGAACGGGGGTTTTCATCCATACCCAACTTTCTAGGATCTAGCTATATAAAATTAAGATTCCTCTAATTAATCATAACAGCTGAAACACGCCAACAGGCATCCAAAGTCCATTTCCCCTGCATCAATCTCCGAGGAGGCAGCCAGTACCATAAGATGTTTCCAAGGCCCTGCCTACCACCTAGGGTTTCATAGGCCCCATTGGTTCCCATGGCAACGTATCGCTGGTCTTTGCCTAAGAAAGAAATGGAACAGGCCAGACTAGGTTAGTCATGTATCTTACTTTACAGTCTTCTGTTTGAAGGGTTGCCAGTTCTCCATTTGAAGGGCTGGTGGGTCCAAGCCCCGTTTAAAGATGAAGAATAGTGCAAAGGGAGAGCAGAGGCCTTTACGCCGCACATCAACTATTACCACAACTGGACACCAGCTGAGCAGCCACACAGCTCACCAGGTAGCAGCTTCCTCCACTCTAATGGCATGTAATATTACAATACAAGGTTGCATGTGGACATATAACTCAGCATGCGCAACTGTTATGCAACCAATGTCCCCTTGTCTTTTTTTAAGCGATGCATTTCCACTTTATTGGCAAATGTGTCAGTGGCTACCTTAGACCATACTTGTCCAGATTGTCTTCCCTTTGTCCAGCTCAAACTCTTACAAGAATAGATATACAGAGTTGTGTGGGATCTTGAGGTCATAAGGGTTGCCACCCGAAATATATATAAAAAATAAAAAATAATTGTCCAGTAGCACCTTAGAGATCAACTAAGTTTGTTCTTGGTATGAGCTTGCTACTGCACAATTTTTAAATATTTTTTTATATATTTCTACTGCATCAGACCAACATGGCTATCTACCTGAATCTAGGGTTGCCACCCATCCCTAGAAAAATGGGATCGCCCCGTTTTGGGACAAAAGTGTTCCCGGTCCCGTTTAGACTTCAAACTGGATGCCTTTCTTCCCATATTCAAGCTCAGCCAGCCCAAAATGGCTGTAATAATAATAATTTATTTATACCCCACCCATCTAGCTGGGTTTCCCCAGTCACTCTGGGCAGCTCCCAATAGAATATTGAAAACACAATAAATATATCAAACATTAAAAACTGTCCTAAACAGGCCTTCAGATGTCTTCTAAAAGTCAGATAGTTGTTTATTTCTTTGGCATCTGGTGGGAGGGCGTTCCACAGGGCGGGTGCCACTACCAAGAAGGCCCTCTGCCTGGTTGTGTTGCTGTTGGTGTGGCTGATGAGGAGCTTGGACCAGCATGAGCAACAACAGAGACCTCCTCTCCCTCTTTCCTTCCCTCTCACTGGTGCTCCTCCACAGCTGCTACCTGCCAGGCTAGCATGGTGCAGGCCCAGCGCCACTTTGCTCCCTCCGCTGCCCCGACATCTCCTCCTCCCTCTTCTTTGTCCATGCTCAAGTCTCTTTCACCACCAGCAGGGGCAAGAGGCTGGAGCAGCAGCTCAAGTCGCCCATGAGAGCTGGCCCTCTACCCCTGACCCCTGCCCATCTATGTGAGTTGAGGGAGAAAGTGGGCCTGGTGTGGTGAGAGGCTGAATGTGGGGAACCCCCCTCCCATGGTGTCATGGGAATGTGTGTGTCCTCCAGTCCCCACACCGCCAACCTGTCTTTTATCTCGCCTGACCAAAGGTGGCAGCCCCATCTAGTCACAAACCCCACCCAACTCACAACAAGAATGTGAAAAAGAATTGCGATGATTTCACAAGGTCACTTGACATTGCAGGCCACAATCTGGAGAAATATAAGCCACACTTAAGTTCCAGTGAGAGCCAATGTGGTGTAGTGGTTAAGAGGTGTGGACTCGTAATCTGGTGAACCAGGTTAGCGTCTCTGCTCCTCCACATGCAGCTGCTGGGTGACCTTGGGCTAGTCTCACTTCTCTTAAGTCTCTCAGCCCCACTCACCTCACAGAGTGTTTGTTGTGGGGCAGGAAAGGAAAGGAGAATGTTAGCCGCTTTGAGACTCCTTCGGGTAGTGATAAAGTGGGATATCAAATCCAAATCCAAACTCTTCTTCTTCCAGAGGGCCAGTTGGTTGTAACCAATTTTAGAGTGACTTTAGCACAGGCATCCCCAAACTCGGCCCTCCAGATGTTTTGGGACTCCAATTCCCATTATCCCTGACCACTGGTCCTGTTAGCTAGGGATAATGGGAGTTGTAGACCCAAAACATCTGGAGGGCTGAGTTTGGGGATGTCTGCTTTAGCATAACTAACTTTCTTTCGACTTTGGGCCATAAATTTCAAGCAGTGTTGCATCTAGACTGAGATGTCGGAGAGGTAGGTCATATATTTAGCAGGACACAAATTAAATCAGGGGTTAGGGACCTGTGGACTACAATCCCCATCGCCTCCAGCCAACATGGTCAGGGATGGTGGGAGTTATAACCCAAGCATGTCTAGATGTCTGATGTCTTTATAGGACAGTCGGGTACCCATCTCAGTAACCTGCCAGCACCTGGTGAAACAAATATAGTTTCACCTTATTCCTATTACCTTTTGGGATACAAGCTAAGAAACTTACAGAGCACGCCTGTCTGGAAAGCTCAAAGGCAGGGGTCAGCAAACTTTTTCATCAGGGGGCCGGACTATATTTTTTTTGGGGGGGGGGGAATGAACAAATTCCTATGCCCCGCAAATAACCCAGAGATGCATTTTAAATAAAAGGACACATTCTACTCATGTAAAAACACGCTGATTCCCAGACCATCTGCGGGCTGGATTTAGAAGGCGATTGGGCCGGATCCAGCCCCCGGGCCTTAGTTTGCCTACCCGTGCTCAAAGGGCTTTTGCAGTGGAGGTGGAAAATTCTGAGCGTGGAATCATCCAGCGCTTTCAGTGATGAAACAAAATACCGCGCCACCAGTGATTGGAAAGGAAATGACTCTTCCTCTTTGTTGAGTCTGCCAGTCAAGTAGAGAGGAAATTAGGTCAGACCAAGAAGGAAAAGAGGCAAGTATTTGGAGATCTCTTGACCTTTAAAAAAACACACCAGCGCCATGAAAAGCTCACTCTGTTGTAGGAACAAGAGTTAGTTTAACTTCTAGCGCAGAAGGGACATTCAGAATTGCTGCTTGAATTGAAGTAACCTTCCTGATGGCTGTTTAGAAGATGTGTTCACTGTGTCCTTTTTAGATTTAATTTCTGGGTTTTAGGGTGCTGTATGGAAAGAGCAGACCCACTTACTGTCTGAACCAAAGTTTGGTTTCAGGAAGATGTCCCTATAAGATCAAGGGGGCTGCCCTTGAGACTGACCCAGAAACTCCAGCGGGTGCAGAATGCCGCGGCGAGACTCCTTATGGGGTCTTCGCTGCGAGATCATATCCATCCGGTACTATACCAGCTGCACTGGCTCCCGGTAGAGTACAGGATCAGGTTTAAGGTGCTGGTTTTAACCTTTAAAGCCCTATACGGCCTAGGACCCTCGTACCTACGGGACCGCCTCTCCTGGTATGTCCCACAGAGAAATTTACGGTCTGCAAATAAAAACATCCTAAAGATCCCAGGCCACAGAGAGGTTAGGCTGGCCTCAACTAGAGCCAGGGCTTTCTCAGCCGCGGCTCCAATCTGGTGGAACGCTCTGTCACAAGAGACTATGGCCCTGCAGGACCTGACGTCCTTCCGCAGGGCCTGCAAGACAGAGCTGTTCCACCAGGCCTTTGGTCAGGGCGCAGCCTGACCCCCTCCTCTGGCAGTCTGCACAGAATTTTGCTTGATGGTTGCCATTAATTTGATTTTAATTTGATTTAATTAATTTTATAATGAATGTTTTTAGAATGTTGGACTATTTTGATTGTTGTTAGCCGCCCTGAGCCCAGCTTCGGCTGGGGAGGGCGGGATATAAATAAAAATTATTATTATTATTAATACAAGCTTCCTATAGGGTTCTTATGTTCTTATATGGACATCCAGGGTGCTTTCCAGACAACCTGTTTCTTGATCCATTTGCAGGGAGATTAGATGGTGTTGGCTATTTAATTGTAATTTATTCTGATTTGCTTTTGGGGAGGTTAGATGACACTGTGTCAAACCCCAAGTGTTATCCCACAGTTTCCACTGCATATTCCTGTCACTTTCCAGGTCATGAAATGTCTGGTATTTTGGGGAAACAGGAGTAGTGCAAGACCACCCAACTGACTATAACTGCACAACCTGAATTTTTAGGTATGTGAGTAAATCCCACCTGAAAATAACTTGATTATTGGGCTTTTAGGAGCAGCTTGATCATCAGATGCTAGCAAGTCACAACACTTATCTCTGCAGCTTGGAGAGCTCCATGTCCTGGTTTCAGGACACCAGGTTGCTATAAAATAAATAGGAGCGGGGCAAGTTTTATATTTAGATTTCATAGCCACAGGAGTATAACCATTGCACTTGTCTCTCAGAGCAAAAGGCTCAGAACTGCTATCGAAACTATTTCCAGCAGCATCAGTCTGCAGATGTAGCCCAACATGTCTTCTGAAATGCATCATGATTCATTCACTTTGGCACAGGTGGACAAGTGTGTCTTGGAGCAGATGGGGTTTTAGCAATTAAAGAGACAGGAGCCCTGTTAAAATTATTCACATCATCCTGGAGATATACTTAAAAGCAGACTAGTGATCGAAACCATGATTCCATTTGTCTAAAAACATAAAACACACACACGTGGCTATTAAATGTAAATTAATTTTGTTGCAAGGCTATGGCATATAAGGTAATCATTAAAAGTTATATTAGTCAATATACTGTATGATCCTATGCATATTTACTCAGAAGCAAGTGTCGTGGAATTTAGTGAGGCTTAGTGGGAATAAGTGTGCAGTCTTAAAGAAGTTTTAACTGATTAAAATAGTACACCAATTTAATTAGGGCAGCAGATTTCACATTAAAAATTGTTTTTAATGCAGCTGCTTATAAAAAACTACAGATGGTAATGACCATATTAAAAAGGAATTACCCCTTCTCTCATATAGCAGAGAATGCCTCTTCTAAGTTGGCTGTTATAACACATACATGTATTATATATATTTTAAAAATTATGTTTCATGCTTTGCTCATTTGCCTGTGTGCAAATTTAAAATAGATTAACCAACGAAAAACTTGTGCAGTTAATCAACTCCAATTTCTTTGTGTGGATAATGACATTATATAGTTTAGTCACTAGGTGGCACTGGACTTAGCTGCACTGGATGGAGTCAGGAATTTCCTGTTGCTGCTTTTTTGCAGCTGGGGCAGATGAAGGCATCTGGTTGTGGCTGCGCTTGATGCACCATGGTGTTTTTGCCTCTGCGCTCCTCGCAGCCATCATTCCTCCTCTGACCAAGGCAGCGTAGATGTTGCTGAGACAGGAGTGTGAGGAATTAGGGCTTGGGAAAGCACATCTTTATTTGAGACTCTACCTTGCCATGTGATGCCCCCAACAATACATCTCTCCTTATTGAGGAAGACTGTGAGCTGTCACTGACCTGTCCACCTGCTCAGTCTGCTCCCTAGGTGCTACGTGCTGATGGGCAATTTCTAAGCCCTTCTCCTTTCTTATAGTCCTTTATCTATGGAGAGCTCTTCAAACAAGAGGACACCCTCAAAGTAAAGACAGCCCTTCAAAGTACAGTCATACCTCGGGTTACAGACGCTTCAGGTTGCATTTTTTCGTGTTGTGGACTGCCGAAACCCGGAAGTACCAGAACGGGTTACTTCCAGATTTTGGCGGTCGCGCATGCGCAGAAGCGCTAAATCGTGCTTTGCGCATGAGCAGAAGTGCCGAATCGCAACCTGCGCGTGCAGGTTGCAAACACTGCGGGTGCGAACGTGCATTCCGCACGGATCACATTCGCCACCCGAAGCATTCACTATAGAGGATGGTAAAGGCAAAGGCAAGATAAAAGACCCCTGGACAGTTAAGTCCAGTCAAAGGTGACTATGGGGTTGCGGTGCTCATCTCGCTTTCAGGCCGAGGGAGCCGGCGTTTGTCCACAGACAGTTTTCCGGGTCATGTGGCCAGCAGGACTAAACCGCTTCTGGCACAACAGGACACAGTGACGCAAACCAGAGCGCACAGAAACGCTGTTTACCTTCCCGCCGCAGCGGTACCTCTTTATCTACTTGCACTGGCATGCTTCTGAACTCCTTGGTTGGCAGGAACTGGGATGGAGCAACGGGAGCTCACTCCGTCATGGGGATTCGAACCACCGACCTTCTGATCGGCAAGTCCAAGAGGCTCAGTGGTTTAGACCACAGCGCCACCCTACTGCATCTCTTCCACTTGTTTTACTCTGCTCATTTCTTCACCAACAGCAGGGAATGTCGGCTTCCAAGTTCCTGTATTGTGCACAGCAACAAGGACAATGATCTTCTAGCCATCAATCCTTCCATGGGGGGGGGGGGAGCCAGCCGTGTGTGTAGTCCATTAAAACAGTCCTGCTTGGCGGGTTTAATTCCAAGAAAATTTGGGCTTCAGGAAGACAACTCACTGTTTTCTCATAAATAAGCCACGTCGCTTTTGTGCCAAGGCCTTCGGTCATCCACCCCCTCCAATCTGTGTCCATTTTTTCACTCCTCCGGGGCAGATTGAAATGAAAAGAGGGAGGAAAAAAGGCTTAAATTTAGATTCAGGCTTCTGCTGCCCATCACCCGAAAGGAGGCCTTGTTCAGAGACAGTTTAGATGATGTGCATTCTTATCAGATGACAATCCCTCTATTGTCTTTCTGTTCAGAAAATAGAAGGCATATCTTTTCCAAGTTTATCTGAAGGGCAGCCAGATGAGACTTTTTGGGTTTGAGCCCCATGTTGGGCCAAAGATTCCAGCATTGCAGTGTATGTGTGTGTGTGTTATTATTATATTATAACTTGTTTTTATTATTGCTTGTAAGCCGCTCTGAGCCCGGCCTTGGCTGGGGAGGGCGGGGTATTAATAATAATAATTATTATTATTATTATTATTATTATTATTATTATTATTATTATACCCTTGGGGTCCCAACTCTACAATTATATGGTTCTAGGCCAAATTCAGCCATGAAGTATACTGGGTGACCTCAGGCTGTCTCTCAGCCCAACCTACCTTACCTACAGGGCTGTTGTGAGGATAAAAAGGAGAACAGGTAGAATCATGGATGCCACTTGGAGCAACTTGGAGGAAAATGTAATAAATAAAGGGGTAGTTTTAAGGGGGGGGAGAGAACTTCAAGACGACCTGATAAGAGGTTTATAAAATTATTCACTGTGGGGAAGACACATTTTGCTTAGGGTATTAAAAAGCCTTCCGATATCTGGAAATGTTTAAATGTGTGGCATGACTTTATTACAGTGGTACCTCGAGTTACAGACACTTCAGGTTACAGATGCTTCAGGTTACAGACTCCGCTAACCCAGAAATAGTACCTCGGGTTAAGAACTTTGCTACAGGATGAGAACAGAAATCGTGCGGTGGCAGCAGGAGGCCCCATTAGCTAAAGTGGTACCTCAGGTTAAGAACAGTTTCAGGTTAAGAACGGACCTCCAGAATGAATTAAGTTCTTAACCCGAGGTACCACTGTACTTGCATCAATAAAAGAAAAAGAAAAATAATAGAAACCTTCCCATCAATTAAGCAAGGATTGAATGAATAATAATTCCAGTGATTCTGATTCTTGATTAAAAAGGTACCCTGCCGTACGGGCCAGTCTTGCCAGGACTCTGGGTTGTGCGCCCATTCACTCAAGAGGCCGGGGCCAGCGCTGTCCGGAGGACACTTCCGGGTCACGTGCCAGGTTGACATCGCACTCTAGCGAGCCAGGAGCCCGCACACGGAAAACGCCGTTTACCTTCCGCTTGTAAGCGGTTCCTATTTATTACTTGCACTTTGAAGTGCTTTTCGAACTGCTAGGTGGCAGGCGCTGGGACCAATGACGGGAGCGCAACCCCGCCCAGGGTTCGAACCGACGACCTCGTCGCAAGCCCTAGCCTAGGCTTAACCTGATTCTGATTACATATGGTTTAATAGTGAACTTTCCTTTTAGGAGGCTAGCTGGATTTATGTATCCACTATGTGGGTGGCGCTGTGGGTTAAACCACAGAGCCTAGGACTTGCCGATCAGAAGGTCGGCGGTTCGAATCCCCGTGATGGGGTGAGCTCCCGTTGCTCGGTCCCAGCTCCTGCCAACCTAGCAGTTTGAAAGCACGTCAAAGTGCAAGTAGATAAATAGGTACCACTCTGGCAGGAAGGTAAATGGCGTTTCCGTGCGCTGCTCTGGTTCGCCAGAAGTAGCTTAGTCATGCTGGCTACATGACCCGGAAGCTGTATGCCGGCTCCCTCGGCCAATAAAGCGAGATGAGCGCCGCAACCCCAGAGTCGGTCACGACTGGACCTAATGGTCAGGGGTCCCTTTACCTTTACCTTACCAACACCAGTACTGCTTGTCTCTCTAAGCTGTATGGGATGTGGTTTCCATTTTTTATTTCACAAAGCTTTTCTTTTTTTCATAGGGAGTTGTTTGTTTTCTGTTTTTTAATACACATCTTCTTGGATATACAAAGCAAAGTGCAAATCAATAATTTTTTTTTAAAAAAAGTCTATTAGGTCTGTCTTTTTCAAAGATTGTTATTTCCTTTAAAAAAAAAAACAAATCGTGAAAAAACAGATGGGTCATCAGATCTACTGCAAGAGAGCCACTGCTAGTCAAGTGTAGACAATCCTTGAAGGACCAATGGTCTGACTCAGTGTAAGGCTGTTTCCTGTGCTTTTCTTCTTATACCTGATGAAGCAGACTGTTAAGTTGTGGGTGAACATATCAGACGACACAGTGATTCTTCAAACAGCTCTTGTTTATTTACAGGCCAGAACAGAACTGAGCTGAAGGGTTCAGTCAGCCTGCTTATACAGTGGTGCCCCTGCAAGACGAATGCCTCGCAAGACGGAAAACCTGCTAGACGAGAGGGTTTTCCGTTTTGGAGGTGCTTCGCAAAATGAATTTCCTATGGAACTCGTCTTGCGAGTTCCTGCAGGGTTTTTTTCCTTTGCCCCCCCCTTTTCCCCAAGCCGCTAAGCCACTTATCAGCTGATCCACTAAGCTGCTAAGCCACTTAACAGCTGATTGCTAAGCCGCTTATCAGCTGATCCGCTAAGCCCGCTAATAGCACTAATCAGCTAAGCCGCTAATGGGCTTGCTTCGCAAGACGAAAAAACCGCAAGACGAAGAGGCTCGCGGAACGGATTCTTTTCGTCTTGCGAGGCACCACTGTATAGAGCTCCAGTACAACGTAACTGTACAATTTTCTAAAACTATCCAATCACTGAACGTCACTTTCGATCCCTTATTTGCATAACTATCTACAGTATCCCCCTGCTGGCCCAGGGTGAGAACTTCAGTACATAACACGGACTTACGGAGGGAACCTGAACAGTGAGCATGAAACCAAGATGGTGGCTGGGTAGCTGTGGGAACTTTCACGGTCTTGCTGAGAACTAAGTGCATCGGGCTCACATGTTTGTTGGCTTGTTGTGCAGCCTGGTCTCCACACTGCAACAGCAGAGAAGATATAGAAGACCCACCCAATCTGTAAGAAGAGGAAACGGGCACTTACCATAAGGTTACCAGACTTTTTTCAATGAATCTGGGGACACTCTTCAACTGATTTTGTATGTGGACTGATTTGTAAATCCGGGGACTGTCCCCGGGAAACGGGGACGTCTGGTAACCTTAACAGGAGGAGGGATGAGACCTGCTCATTGGGTAGAAACAAGCTGCCTCTCCAAGACTAGCTTGTTCAAACAGTAAAGAGTATGTTTAGTGAAGTGTGTCTGCAAAATATTTATACCAAAACAGAAAAAGTGAGTTTGCAAAATAAATAGGAAAGCCAAGTCACCTGTCGTCGAAAGCCCATCCTGCAGTTTATCAGAGGATGCAGACGCACTACCAAAAGTCTTTTGCAGGGAGATCTGATGTTCCAATGGAGCAGGTCGCTTTGGACCTCCCCTTGCTGCTGAACTACAACTCCCATCAGCCCTAGCAAGCATCTCGTTCCCTCCCTTAGTTCTTTGTGGGCAATCTGTTTGAAACATAGGCATAAGGGGAGGTGGACCCTGGATGAGAAACCTGCCAAACTTCGGACAAATAGGCCAGCAGCTATTGTGCCAGGTGATCTTAACCCTGGTTAGTACAAAACTGGCGAAGTCACATGTGAACCCATGGGAAGAACAACTTGGGTTTGCTCATTTCAACATCCCTACCCCTAATTGCAGCAACTGGAGTGGTATCGGAAAGTAATTTTTTTTCCAAGTGAATTTTTATTGTTTTCCTTGCATATTCTTTTCCAACAAATTGTAATAGCACCATACATTCCCTTTGACTCTGCCGAGTCGCGACCCCCCTCCCTCCCCACAACTGGTATCTGGGGAGTATCGGAAAGTAATTTGCAGCGATTAAGGAAGTTAGACCTTGCTCTAACTATGCAAGATCCCTCCCGCCTCTCTGACCTCTAAGCGTTTCCTCGGCCAGTTGTGGTTTTGCTTCTTAAAGGGTCAAGGACAGCCATGCATTTTTGAATAAACCTAAAGCCACAGAGCCACTCCAAAGTGCAGAAGTCCCTGATCTGCCTCGAGATGCCTTGCTAATGGCAAGATCTGGATTAGAAAAACAAGAACCTTCTCTGAATCACCCCAATTAGCTTTTGTAATTTTGGGTGCGCACAGAGCTGATAGCACAGCCTCAGCTAATCCCAGATGCTCTGAGCTGCCTGCTACCTTTTGCAGCAAAGACAGCACCTCACACTCCTCCCCACCGCAGGAGGTTGGGCTAAGATGATTCTTGGGAACACTTCCATCTCTACAATTCTACGAATTAAGATATTTGGTGCTTTTGTTACAGCAGGTTGCTCAGGTGTTCCAAAAGGAGCAAGAGTTCAGATCATCAGTGCCGTTGATTTAAATGCTACTGACAAATCAAGAGACACATGCTGGACAAAGATAGCAGCGACTGTCTCCAGTAAACGGCAAGATGAGATATAAACCACACAAAAATCTAGGGGAAATCATCCAAATAAATAAAATTAAAATTAAAATACATGAGGCAATCATGTACTCCATTTTTATTTCCTCTTGAGTACTTCATAATCTTTTTTTTATAGCTTTGTCAAACAACCAAGTTTCCAATGGATTTTTACCACCTCCAAAGTACTGTGCTGGCTCCAAATTGAATTCTTCTTGGAAACCCAGAGATTAAGATGAATCCAAAATACATCCATGGACAAATTTATGGTGGAACTGAACTGTTTTATTTCACATTTGAACCAGGCGAACCACAGGTGGGTTCCTACAGCATATAAAATCTTTTGGCTGCTTTGATTTCTGACACTGTGTTGTTATTTTTATTTACTTGTGTTGGATCATCTGGATTCTCCCTTTTCTCTGATGTGCTGTATAATGGCTGCATTCCGTGGTGTGTCACAGTTACGAAGAGGGAGCGTTTCTTTGGTTCCATATTAGTCGTTCAACTTTTAAGAAGAAAAGCCATAAAAACAGTGCTTTTTTCTGGGGGGGGGACACATACCCCAAAACATTTTGTGAATCTTTGCACTTTTGTCCATTTACTGTATTTATTTCCCCCGATTTGAACTATAAAATGGTGGTTTTCTTGAGACAAAATGAGAGTACCCACTAAACATTTTTAAAGAAAAAAAGCACTGCATAAAAATATATTTAGTTTTGAATTAAACAAAGTAATGTGCTATGGTAAAAGGTTGTTTATTCCCATGTTCACTTCTACACTTGATGGAAATGTGGACTTCTGTGGTGTTATGTCACTCTGAGCATGGAGCCTTTATAGCTTGTAGCTGCTGAAATCCTTATCCCCCAGCAGGCCCACTGGTTCAACCAGTTTTGTAAATCCCACCATTGCAATCAAAGAATCAGATGGTTGTAGGGACTCTGAAGGGACACGGGTGGTGCTGTGGGTTAAACCACAGAGCTTAGGGCTTGCTGATCAGATCGGCGGTTCGAATCCCCGCGACGGGGTGAGCTCACGTTGCTCAGTCCCAGCTCCTGCCAACCTAGCAGTTTGAAAGCACGTCAAAGTGCAAGTAGATAAATAGGTACCGCTCCAGCGGGAAGGTAAAGCATTTCCGTGCGCTGCTCTGGTTCGCCAGAAGTGGCTTAGTCATGGTGGCCACATGACCCAGAAGCTGTACACCGGCTCCCTCGGCCAATAAAGCGAGATGAGCGCCACAACCCCAGAGTCGGCCACGACTGGACCCAATGGTCAGGGGTCCCTTTACTTTTACCTTTAGGGACTCTGAAAGCTCATCCAACCCAATCTCCCCTGTCCACCACAGCTGAACTCACAAACAGACATCAGTGAGCCCCTTTGTTTCTTCTACTGCAACAGACCGACATGCCTAGCCTTCTTGAAATTAATCCAAAGCAAAAACAGGAGAGCTGTCGGGTGTGGAAGAACAGCTCGACCCATTCCTCTGCCTTTCACAGCTCGTCAAGAGGTCTGCAAAACCGGCACAGGAAGTTTCCCAACAGCGCAGAGATAAGCTGTAACTTTTGCAAACGACTGCAAATCCCAGCGCGGCTAAAGGCAAATAAATGGAGAAAGCGTAGGGCGAGGGGGGACAGAGATTAGCAACACACTGTGCCTGCCCAGCTTGCGTTCTTGGCCCAATGTTCTACAGAAGGTCTGATGGTGCATTTCCCACCAGTTGCCACTTCTGAATAGTTTCCCAAAGCAGCTCCATATACCCCCCCCCCCATTAAAAGTAGCCGGAGCCTTATTTTAAAATGTAAATAGTCTCCAAGAAATGCCGGCACCTCCCTCGTGATCTTACCCTTTACCAAGCCCCTTGAACCTAATACAATCTGACCGGCTCTTTCAGACCCTCCAGACTTCAGTGTGGGCCTTTGTCATTCTTGCAAAAGAACCGGTTCTCCATCCCATGGGCTTACTTGCTTCATCTCTGCTGCCTGAACACAGTGGCCTGGCAGAGACTTTTATAACTTGCCTCCCAGGGTTCCTGAGCAACGCTTTGCTAAATGAGAGTGCAGAAGCCTTATGGTCTTCAAACAAAAACATCTTGGAGGTCCCAGGCCACAGGGAGGTTAGGCTGGCCTCAACCAGAGCCAGGGCTTTTTCGGCTGTGGCTCCGATCTGGTGGAACGCAAGGGACTAGGGCCCTGTGGGACTTGACATCTTTCCGCAGAGCCTACAAGACAGAGCTGTTCCACCAGGCCTTTGGCCAAGGCACAGTCTGACCCCCTCCTTTGGTAATCCTCACAGAACTCTAGCTCAATGGTTGCCATTAATTTGATTTGAACTGATTTTAAAATGAATTGATTTCAGAATGCTGTATTATTTTACTGTTGTTAGCCGCTCTGAGCCCGGCTTTGGCTGGGGAGGGCGGGATATAAAATTATTATTATTATTATTATTATTATTATTATTATTATTATTATTATTATTATTATTGTGGGGAGTCTCAGCCATCTAGGGAAAAGCTTGCCAAGTTCCTTGGAAAATGGTGTCAAGTGGAAGGAGAGGCTAAAAGCTGACAACCTGCACATTGTCCACTCACTTATGGGACGTGTCAGGATTTGAACGCGGGTCATCCAGCTGCAAGCCTGCTGGGATGAAACTAGTCTCTTGTAATCAGCACTCTATTTGGTTCAACTCAAATGCCTGTTTCTGCACTGTGCAAATGTTATGCGGTGTCAGTGACTAGGGCAGAAACTGACCACTAAGGCACAAAAAATCACCGTGCATCCTAAAGGCCAAAGTTTACTTTCTGATGATAAACATATCTCTCAGACCGGCTTAAAACAGCACATTATTTGCTTTCTATAAGGACAAGAATAAAGTTATTGCCAGACATTCAGTTTTAATCAACGGCGGGTTATTAGTCTCCTGAGGAAGTAGCTTGGAGTGGTTTGGCTTTCAAGGCAGACTTTGTACCCACCTCCCTAGAAAGCTCCTGGCTTGCAGCTCTGCTCAAGGAGGCTAACTGGAAATCTCAGTTTAATTAGTTTGCATTTTAAGCACCAAGCACATTTTCAATGTTGACTCTCTGGAATAAGGCTTTCTTTTTTTTTTTTTAAACTGCAGTTAAGTGTTTCCAGATGTAGATTCATGTTCAGACTTTGAAGGAACACTGCAATCTTTGTCTAAGGCTGGGTTAGGGTGCGGGGGAGAGACCAAAGATGAAAGCTTCTTCTTTCTGAAATGAAGCATACTGAAAAACCAAACTACGTAGAGGCTACAAAAGCATGTGCAGCTTCGGCAGATGATCTTGTATGAAATGTGTAGATATTCTGGACTTCAGGGATGGGGAACCCCAAGGCTGCAGACTTCTCTGTCTGGCCCTCAGAATTATCTCTATGAAACATCTCCTTCCCAAGGCCACGACGTCACTGGTGCCTGCTTCAACCCCCGTGTTTTTGCCTTGCTGGAATGTGCTCTTTGTAGGAATGGATTTAGGCACAAGGAGAGGTTATACTGTTGTTATTTATCCCTTGTGAGTGAGATCGGCAGAATACCATACTTTGCAGCTTTAAACTTGGAAACTAAGACAAGGTTGGGTTAACCTTCTAGAAACAATAAACCAAGATGCTTTAAGGCAGACTGAATTTTCCCTGGCATTACCCCCCCCCCTTAAAAATAACAATCACAAACACATTGTTTTGTGAAGAAGTAAAAGTAATGCTTACTTACATAATCTAGGACGTGAAGCAGCCATTAGCAAAATGAGTTTATAACTACTATCTAAATTACAAAAGCCCAAAATCAAAGTTCAAATGGTTTTGCACGAGAAAGCTAAAAGATCCAAGCCCGCATCTCCTTGCTTCTGCAAAGTGCATAATTCATACCTCTCCCTAAATCGGGTCGACACTTCAGGCCACAGAAAGCAGAAGTGACAGATTTGTGCCAGAGTGAATGTGCAGCAAAGGAATATATTCCAAAATTAAGGCTAACCCACTGATTGCTAGCTAATCTTGACCTTGGGCTAAAATATGTATTCCTTTCCCAAATATGGTGAACAGTGAGAATTTTTTTTTTTTAATGCAGCAGCTCCTGGGGGAGAAAAATGAAGGTGGAATATACACCATTGCAAGAAAGACAGGAGGTATGTTGCAAACTATGATAGGTGTGTGTGTGTGTGTGTGTGTGTGTGTGTGTGTGGTGTTGCTGTTGTTGTTTAGTCGTTTACTTGTGTCCGACTCTTCATGACCCCATGGACCAGAGCACGCCAGGCATTCCTGTCTTCCACTGCCTCTTGCAGTTTGGTCAAACTCATGCTGGTAGCTTTGAGAACACTGTCCAACCATCTCGTCCTCTGTCGCCCCCTTCTCCTTGTGCCCTCCATCTTTCCCGACATCAGGGTCTTTTCTAGGGAGTCTTCTCTTCTCATGAGGTGGTCAAAATATTGGAGCCTCAGCTTCAGGATCTGTCCTTCCAGTGAGCACTCAGGGTTGATTTCCTTCAGAATGAATAGGTTTGATCTTCTTGCAGTCCATGGGACTCTCAAGAGTCTCCTCCAGCACCATAATTCAAAAACCACTCCATTATTCGGCAATCAGCCTTCTTTATGGTCCAGCTCTCACTATATATGATATCAAACTGAAGCACTTGCAGATAAACCAATCAGGAAGTGCACTAGAGAAGTTGATTGACCATCGTTATTGATGATGGCATAGGCTTTTCGCTGCCTCCAACAAATAGAAAACCAGCCAATAATCAGGGAAACACAGTGGTCTCAAGTTCCTACTATCTTGTATACCTGCCCACCTCCACTTGCAGGTGCATTTATGCTAAGGCTGAAGCATGGCATGGGGAAGAGTAGATAGAAAGTTTTTCTACCTCCCTCATTAATATGAGAATTCAGGGCCATGCAGCAAAGCTGACTGTTGGGAGATTGGGGAGAAGTATTTTTTTTTTACACAGCTCAAGGAAATGGCTTCCACAAGATGTAATGGTTGCTCCCAACTTGAGAATTAAGAGAAATTAATGGCTACACGCCACAACGCTTTGTGTTCCGTCTCAAGGGTCAACAGCACTCTCCCAGAAACTGGCATTCATGGCTAGCCAAGATCGATAGCCATATTTTCCTCCATAAATATGCTCAGTCCCTTTTAAAGCCATCCCAGTCGGGTAAAGCGCCCTGTGATCTTGAAATGTAAATTTAATAAATAATACCAGTTGCTGGAGGGATGGGGGTGGTGCTGTGGGTTAAACCACAGAGCCTAGGACTTGCCGATCAGAAGGTCGGTGGTTTGAATCCCCGCGACGGGGTGAGCTCCCATTGCTCGGTCCCAGCTCCTGCCAACCTAGCAGTTCGAAAGCACGTCAAAGTGCAAGTAGATAAATAGGTACCGCTCCGTCGGGAAGGTAAACGGCGTTTCTGTGTGCTGCTGTGGTTCGCCAGAAGCGGCTTAGTCATGCTGGCCACATGACCCGGAAGCTGTACACCGGCTCCCTCGGCCAATAAAGCGAGATGAGCGCCGCAACCCCAGAGTCAGTCACAACTGGACCCAATGGTCAGGGGTCCCTTTACCTTTACCAGTTGCTGGAAACTGCAGGGAGCGCCATTGCCCTTGAGTCCTGCTTGTAGGCTTTTCCACAGGGATCTATGGTTGGCCACTGTGAGAACAGAAAAGCCTTTGGCCTGATCTTGCAGCGCTATTCTTATGTTCATTTCCCAGCATCTTTTAAATTGGCTCTACCAACTTGGCAGCCATGTACTCCAGTCACCAGCTCTTCCGTCATCTCGTACTGAGCAAAGCAGTTAATGCATCTGCTGCCCCATAGTTTATTTTCATGAGTAGGGCTCATAATCGGTTGTTAATGATAAAGCAGGATATTATTTTTTCCTAGATCACTTTGGCAATCAAAGTAGGCCAGCTACTAAAGTTAATTCTTCCAAACAGAAATAGCGGGCTCAAACAGTGCATCACCTCACACTTCTTTTGCAATGAAATCCTTTGTATGTTCACTGCAGAATAGTTTTATTGGGTTCAGTGGGGCTTTTTCATGATGAGGATTGCAGGCTCAGCTTAATTTAAAAGGAACAGCACTGCTCTACCGTTCAGAAAACCTGTTAGTAATAACTTGATTAATTTTCAGGAAATACGGCATTTTACGATCAGATCCCAAATTTGTAAGGGCTAGAGATCACTTTGTTTTAAAACTTGTTATGCACCTTAATACATCCAGGCAACAAAAGTTGATTAAACGAACTTGTTAAAAACGACATGAAATAAACAGAAAGATGCTGAACGAAAGGACCAGTTCCTTATTGCCAAGAAGTTCCTGCGTCCAGATGGAATCACTAAGTATCATCTACCAATTGTAAACTTCAGCTGCTGCCGATGGTAGCGGTAGCAGAGCAAAATGCCCTCTCTACCCACAACCATGCGATTATCCAACTTTTAATTACGCTATTAAGTAATACCGTGAACTCTCAAGCCACTTTGCTACTGTGTTAAGGTCTTCACACCAATGTAATCTTGGACAATTACTACAATGCGGTAAGAATTCTCACTCCAAAGTTGTGTTTTGATATTTTTATTGTTTATACCGTACACAATAAAGTGGCTCTCTCTCTACCAATGTCATTTTGGCATAAAACACTGCCAGAAAGGAACGACTGAGAATGTGAGCCAAAAAGGCCTTAGCTTGAAGTTCACCTCAGTCACCAAATCATTAGGTGGCCTTGCCCACAATTCTACTATTCATGGAATGGAAATCTCCTCCCGCAAAATACTTCCCCATCCTAGAGCCTAGTTTCCATACTGTGCTAGTACTGTATACGGTCTCAGAGAGTGATGATCTAGGAATTCAGTTTGGAATCCATTTAACATCATGAACTCGGTAGTCTTTGGAAATCCCTCCATGCCATCCTTTCCCAAATCTGCACTATGGAAATAACACAATGCATGTGTGGTTTGAATAGACTTTTAAAAATGTGCTAGATGGAACTATGTATTCAAAAAGAAAGAGCAATGCCATCTTTGATATTGCTTGGAGGCCAATGCCATGTCTGGCAAAAGTTTAGACTTAATACAAGCTGTAGCTATGAAATGGAGAAAGAGGAAAATGTCACCATTCAAAATTTACCTTTGGCCAAAAGAAAAATAAATAAATACAGGAGCAATATAAAAACCACAATTACTGCATCTACCTGCACACTTGAATAAAGCATACTGATAGTAAAATTGTCGTTGTGATAGAGGTTCAAACAACTTTAATTATTTTCATTTATGTTTATTAGGAAATGAGTTTCAATGCATAAGTAGCTTATCAGAGCTGCTGATGATTTCATAACGACGTTATTGCCAGAAATTCACAATAGAACTGCATAGTCTGAGTGGATGAGTGAGTGTATGTTCTGAAGTTTTGCTTTTATAGATAGAAAAAAATATGCACTGTCCTTTAGCAATTATGCTTTCATAAGGCTAGCATTCCAATGCAACAGTGTAAAATCTCCTTTTCTGACATCATGTACAATAAAGATCACAGTTCTTCCACAATAATGCACATCTTACACACCTCTAAACCAGCCTGAGATTGCAATTCCCATGTGGTAAAACTGTACCAATCTAGTTCAAACACCAGGCACGATGCTGTTAAAAACCCATCATGTTATAAACAGAGTTAAACTTGAATAAGCAGACTGGCAGAACTTCCTCCCTCCCTCTGATGGCAGCACCCCCCCCAAGCTCCCCAAAATTATTGATGGGGGGGGGACTACCAACAGGAAGAAGTGGGGCAGGGAAGTCATCTTTTGCCAGCCATATTATGCATGCTTAACTTATCTGAAGGAATAATGATTCCACACCACTAGAGCAACATAACCTTATAGGGGAAGGAATCAGATCTCTGCAGAAATGAAGGGGTTTCTATTAATCTGAGCCCAAATTCTTACCTGCAGCAAGAAGCCAAAGTAGGTCTGCATTTTTTTAAAAAACCCACCATTGTGCATATTGTACATATTTATCAAAAAGAATCAACAGAATGTGACATTAGCCTCAAATTGTGTTTTTGTTTTTTTTAAAATAAAGTATCTGCAGTTCAGTGAGACAGCCTACTTTATGGTATTCTTAAAGACTTCTCAGGAGTTAGGTCACACTTGTTTCTACCTCTTTCTGACATAGAGAGGGAGCACACAGAGAGGGAGCAGCAAACCTCCTTCCAAAAATCCGAGGAAAAGTTTTGCTAATGGTTTATTGTTCCAGAAGGAACACATTCACCCTGGCCCCTAATTTACTGGAGACTAAATAGTAATGTCCGATTTGTCCTGATTAACAAGGTGAGGTGTGATCTGCTTCAAGACCACAGAAGAAAACATTAACTACTTGCAGAAAAAAAAGTGCACATAGCAGACCAAAACCAATTTTGAAGCACTGCATGTACAGAAGAGGCCTCGACTTTATAGATTCCTTCTCACAAGATGGACAGCCTTCTGAGCACTGCCTTAATTGTTTTATTCCAAATTTACAGTGTAGCACCAGAAATAAAGTCAATCAAAATGCAACTGGGCTTGTATACAGCTAAGCCAGTGTTTCTCAAACTTTCTGGACACGGGGCCCCCCTTCTAAATCCCGACCTTTGAGTGCACACACACATCCCACAGCTAAGCAAATGCTGTCTTTGCATACAGCTGCAACTGCTGAGCTCTCCTCCTTTCCCCTACTAATGTCTGATTTCATGCGTCAGTCAGATTTCTCTCTCCAGAAAAATCTGTCAGGTACCCACACAACTGATGTTCAGGTGCTTGTTAAAACTCTTTTGATTCACCAGGACTTTTGGCACCATTTGAGATGTTTGGTGACATTATTTATTAATTTTATTGGCTGTTTGGACTTTTTAGCTTTATATTCACCGTTTTATGTTAATTAAAGGTAAAGGGACCCCTGACCGTTAAGTCCAGTCGCAGACGACTCTGGGGTTGCGACGCTCATCTCGCTTTATTGGCCGAGGGAGCCAGCGTTTGTCTGCAGACAGCTTCCGGGTCATGTGGCCAGCATGACTAAGCTGCTTCTGGTGAACCAGAGCAGCACACGGAAACACCGTTTACCTTTCCGCCTGAGCAGTACCTATTTATCTACTTGCACTTGATGTGCTTTCAAACTGCTAGCTTGGCAGGAGCAGGGACCGAGCAGCAGGAGCTCACCCCGTCGTGGGGATTCAAACTGCCGACCTTCTGATCAGCAAGCCCTAGGCTCTGTGGTTTAGACCACAGCGCCACCCACATCCATTTTGTTTATTATGACAGCTGTTTTTAAGTGTGACTGAAAGCTACCTGGGGGGCTGGGGAGAGTTGGAGATAGCAGAGAGGTGGTGCATGAGTATTTTTAATAAAATAAAAAGGATTTTTGGTCGGGGCATTGGTCCATTATTAGAGAACTAAACAAGGCATCTCAAGACTCACACATAAAAGTTAGCCAGCCAGGAAAGGAGGCAGAGTAGTTGCTATGGTCAGAAGCATTCCTATGTTTCCAATCTCTCTGTAGCTTCCAGAGTTTGCATGACAGTTTTGGCAGCAGCTGAGATGCCAAAACCTGTTGCCTGGAAATTGACGTCTGTCTATCAATCTGCATTCTGCAAGATCCTCCCCCCTCCATGAATTCTGCCCTCCCACCACCAGGGGCCCTCTCCCCACAGTTTGTGAGCCACTGGGCTAAGCAGCAAGTAAAATAGCAACAAATTCCTACAAAAATTAAGTGCAATTATTTCCACTGAATGTGAATGACACTTTTAACATGTTTCTTGTAGTACAAAAACCAAGTTCCTGATTTGAATCGTTTTGAAGGAATTCACACTAAACACACATTCACCAACAGGGGAAAAAACCCAACCATTGTAGACTTTAACATAAACTGACGGAGCGTGAAAAAGCAGGGAAAGTACACTTGGGCACAATTTCATGCTGGTTACTTTTTTCCATTTTAATGTAAGCAGCTAGTTTTAGAGCAGTTCATAAACCAAAAGTTTGCATATTCAGTAATACAGACCCACACACAAACCCAACAGTTATAACATGCATACATTTAACATTAGTGAAAAGTACTTACATGTTCAGAGCAAAAAGAAAATCCACATTGGAAATCTGACATTTGAAAGCACATTTGATACAATTAATGCAAAGTTGGATAATCCTAAATGCCCGGAAACCTCAAATTTGATGCTGGCTCCTATATATTTTTGTGTTCTCCTCAGCCCTAGCCCAATGAGAGTTTTCCAAACTAACCCTTTTAAAGTGCTCTCTGGGAGTCTAAATAAACTCCTTTCAATAGCTTTCTGGTGTATATAGATCTTCTGGTGTTGAAGTAGACAGACTTTGGACAATTCTGTATATTGAGACTACACCGCATTAAAAAAATTATGAGTAACTGCTGCTAAATTATATACATTTTCATGATCTCTGGCATTGCATATTATACCCAAATAGCTTATGCTGAAGATACTTTGGTTCAATTGTTTTAGTTTGGATTATAAGCAGCAACATGTTCCTTCAACCTCTTTGGTAAAAAGAATCTGGGCAGGTTCAGACACTTGCAAGCAGCAATCCTTGTAAGCTACACAAGTTTCGCCATCCCAATACCTAAAATACAGTGGGCACTCGTTATACGAATCTTATTTATGCAGCGGCCTGATGCACACTTTCTTTCCTCTCTGTTCTTCTCTGAAAGAAAAATTACACAAAATAGGGTACCAGGCAAATGTTTCTATATGGATTACTTGTCTCGCAGGTGGACAATACTGAAATATTAACTCAATTTACTGTGCAATCCTATATATGATCCCTCAAAAGTAAAACTCGCCAAGTTCTGTTGAACTCCCAGGAAGGACATTAGAGGATTGTAGCCTAGCTATCTACCATAAAAGATGTCTGGAACAGCATTTCAAAACCTTTTTTTAACCTCTGATTCTGTAGCATCTATTCAATCCATTCCTTGCAAACTCATTAGTGCAAAAATAAAAATGCAATTGTTTTGCCAGGCGCTGAGGAAGGGTATAAATAATGCCCTTTACCACCGCCACACATGGCAAATAGCTAACCAATTATATCCAGAAACATCACCTGATCTTAGGTCCACTTCAAAAATGACAAGCTATTATGTCAAACTTCAAATATAATGCACAATAACTTATGACTCTTTTATATAATAAAAGGAAGCAAAAATAAAAAATGAACTGCATTTCATTCCAAGGTGCCAAAAAGCCTTTGAACGAATGCATCTTGTGAAGAATCTATATTTAGCTTAAGAAATGTATGGACAAACACAAGTGTACCAGGCAAACCTGTGTTTGTGTACAAGAGATGATGTACACATAGTGTTTATACTTCTTACCTAGAAGGGTTTTCCATATATAATTGCCTTTTTGAAGTGGCCAGATACTGCAGACCTACTATTCTATGGTTTTGCAATGAAAACCAAAGGCCACTTCAAGCATCACATGGTTGTTTTTAAGACACACACCTTCAACAGAAGCACACATCGAAAAATGAAATGTGTGGGTGTAAAAAGCACAACCCATTCAGATCCAGACTAGAGAGCTGGGATTTGCACCAGTTGTCAAGCGTATCCCATGGAAAACCCACAGTTGCCTCCATGCAATGTGTGAAATGGCCCCAAATGCTTGGAAACATCTGTATTTGGGTGTTCTAGAGAATTTCATTTATGCTTAAATTTGGTGACATGTCAAGTAATCATTCAATTGTACATTTGTGCAAGCTAAACTAAACGTAAGATAAAGCTTTTTTTTTAAAAAAAAGGTTAACTGCTACACGAGAAGCTCTGCAAATATAAAAGAGCAAATATACAAGTATAACACTGAAAATACTGTACTTTATTAGCACAAAAAAGCTGTAACAAGGCACAGCAAGCGGAGGAAAAACACACATTGATAAACTGGTTAGTGTTGGCATACAAGTGTAACTCTTCTTGTATACGCAGCTTTGAAGTTTTCCTACCTCACAGTCACTGTCAACTGGTTAAGAACCTAGGGAGCACTAGTCATTGGTACAAGATACACAAGCAAAAAACAAGGGACTCTGTACTCCAACACAAATTTTAGTGCAAACACAACTAGGACAAAACAGGTTATGTTCTGTCCACAAAGGGGGGGGGGGGAGAACCAGAAGCAAAAGAGCACTTTCAAAAGTTTTTTGCTCAAGGAGAACACAATCTACAACTTACCAAAAGAAGGTGCTACACCATTCACAAATACAACAGTACCTATATGAAGCCTGAAACTTTACGTATGATGCATTGAGTAGGGTGGAGGGAAAGAAGCAGAACAGATTATCTTTTCTGGATCAGCTTTTAAGTCATAACTAAGCTAGATGGCCATTAGTTTTTAGCAGACAGTTAAAAATACTGTTTTGAAACCTCCAAAAATCAGTTAATGCAAAGCTCCAATTACTACTTGTCAGGTTTCTTATAGTTGAGTCAAGTTCATCATCACGACTTACCAGCAGCGGTTGACTTAAATTGCAATCCTACGTACGCTTATCTAGGAGTTTAGTCCCACTGAATTTAATGAATCTTACTTCTGTGAAGGCTTGCAGTGTTAGACAGAAGTTACTGAAACGCTGTGTATACTAAACTTTACTTTTTTAAAACTAGGGCTGCAATGCTTAAGACAACTGACTACAATCCATCTGATTAAGGTGACCCCAATTAACTGTATAGCAGATTTTTAGAAAATGTGCAAGTTTCAAGCACTTCCACAAACTGTGCAGCATCTTAGAAGAGGAACTCATCCTTCTGAGTCATATTGTAGGATTTTTTGGGGAGGGGTGTTGCCAACTGGGTGCCTGAGACGGCTTTCACTGGTGCCTCCAGGCTGCCCTTACCCACAACTCTTTCTTTCACAGGACTCTAGCCATCCTAGAAAAAAAGTTATGAAGCAGAAGGTGCAGGTGCTCTTCTAAGCAACCAACGTGAAATGAACCAGCCCGGCTGCTCCCACTGCCAGTGTTTTTAGTCAATGAGTGTAGTCAGAGCTGTGCCTGATAAATTGTTTGGACAGCAGGCAAAGGGTCCCAAAGAGGTGCCGTTTCCTGCTTCCTGCACTTTTCCTGTTACTGTCTTGTTTCCTAGTCCTTGGAAGGTTTGCAGCTACATTTACTTTGCTGCCTGCCAGCCACATAGAGCAGTTGACAGGCTGCTACTTGAGAGGCTTTTAAAAATACGTTTGGAGTAGGGGAAGCAGCCCAGGAATGAATAGTTTTGCTGCCTGCTGGCCACGTGAAACAGTCTGCGGATAGTTGCTTAAGAAACTTTTTGAAAATGTGGGGTGGGGGAAGCAAGATGGCAAGCCTCCCATTGTTGCAATACGTGTTTGCTGCCTGCCGGCATGTGGGCCACACAGCTGCTTGAGAGAAGCCTCTGTTGAACTCGGGGAGGGGGTAAGGATATGGCAACCCTTTTTCTCCCTGCTACATGCCCTACAGCAAGGATTGTCCAAAGTTGTTTGAAGTGGGGAGCCCAGTACAGAGACATCATAATGGTGGTGGTAATAATAATGATGCTAATAATTTTCCTGGTTGTTTCCAAGTTGTTACATTCTTGAGGGGTGGGGTAATGCAGAGGCATCATTATTATCAACATCACCATCACCATCACCATCCTCACCACATTATTCCTGATTGTTTCCAAGTTGTTGTTTTTTGGGGGAGGGAGTCATTTCAGAGGAATCAGTGTTATCACTTTTCCCTCCTGCCTGGCCCACAGGGATTGCTCCCATGTTGTCTAGAGAGATGAGGGCTTAGTGCAAAGGCAGAAAAATCATTATCCTCATACATCCCTAGTTTTGAGATGCTTGTAGATGAGTCAGCCTTAAAATCACACTACTCTGCAACAGTATTGTTCAACTACTTCTCTGGTGAGTCCTTTCTGTATTTTCAGTGTTTTTCTATTATATTCTTCTCCATAAAGATAGGGGAAAATACTTGTGAGTCAGCATTATGTCTTTTTATCTCTGATTACGCACATATATATATATATTTTAAAAACCTGAACGGATTTTCCCATATTTGAACTATTTTATGTTCCTGTTTCTTTTCTTTTTCTTCTCTTTTGAAGGTGGCAGCCATTATGTGTTAGGCTACACCCCTGGTGGCAGCCATTTCCTAACTGGTACCCTTGGTATCTTCTCAAAATTCAGAATGTGCCCCCAGATCCAAAAAGGTTGGTGACCACTGCCATAAGAGATGCCCCTTTCAAGGTATCACAGCAGGCACATGTAAGCATCATTATAAAATAAATAAAGTATGTGTTTACTTTTTCTTGCATATGATTACTATTTTAGTGATATGCAAATTTATGCAAACTTAGTTGGCTGATTAATCTATTAGCACTCAAACAATCATACACTAAAGTATACTTAATTAGGATACAGCCCTTTTAAAAACCAGAGTTTGGTGCTGAGTAGATGCATATAAGTGCTCATTAATGTACGTGATCAATTCTTAGAAGCGCTAGGTGACAGCAGTTTCCCTAGTTGCTCATGATTTTTCATTTTAGAGTAGCTTTAATGTGAAAATTGTCATGGGGAAAAACTGAACTTTAAAATGTACTAAGAAAGCAACTACACTGGAACACAACTGCTGGTGTTCAAATGTTCAAAAATGAAAAAAAAAGTCAGCAACTCACTTTGTTCTGACTCCTGAAATTGAATGGAACTTAGAAAATACTCAATGGCTGCTTTGCATAATAACTAGAGGAATTGCGGAAAGAAAATAGTGTATTTCAGAACCAGACAATTATAATCTGCAAGCCTGCATTTAAAAATGTGTGAATTTGTGTTCAACATATTGTTTCAAGAGATATTCACAACTAAGCTTGATTAATAGCAGGCAGCATCTGAACACACTCAGAAACACATTAAGCTTAAAGTACCATATTGCAAAAGAAGATGAAGAAGCAGCTGAACACTGGTGTGCTAACCACAGTTATACTGTATTTGCACAAAAAAAGCACATATTTCTAGTGAGCTTACTGGGGACTCTGAACTCTGTTCACTTTGCCTTTATTGGTTCCCGCTCCAACCATCGCACTCGGACCTTTTGCTTATAGTGATATTCCTTTAGAAAGTCCTGCAACATTGATGGCAAAGGGAGACAATCAATCCCATCATACGAAGTGTACCTACAGATTACTGCCCGGCAGATATATTGCAAGCTGAAAGGGAAAGTTCTGTTTAGGGAGACTGTAAGCAAAGGTTCAAAAAACATGCAAGAACTAGGATCTTTGTAGTGTTCTAGAAGCCCTGTAACAGTGGAGGAGTGAAACACACAGGGGTCGTGAGCGTCAAAACTAAAGTTGTGGTTCCATTGTTCAATGCGTGCATGCAGAGACCGGTTGTAACGGCGGAAGCTCACAGAGAAGAGGTAGTCTTCTTGAGCAGAATCCCTGAGCAAAAAAGTGCCTTCGGGTTTTCCTTCCAGAAGTGCTTCTGCTTCGTAGCGGTCCATCACTCCCCAGTAACAAGGATTGCCAGTAATTTGCAGTAAGTCTGGGACAAGGCAGTGTATATAATCAATCTGAGTATGTACTTTCCAAGCTCCTTGTCTGCTGGTGTGGCTATGGCTCTCTCCAGATACCTGGCGCTGCTTTTGCCTACGCGACTGCAAGCAGAGAGTAGTCGTGTCTTCCTCCAGGTCGCAGCTGCCCTGTGGCGTTGAACTCCCGTCTCCAGTCAGCTCGGACATGCCAGGGGCCAACTTTGGTCCCAGTTTATATAGCGGGTTAACTTGTGCAGTAGCTTCAAAGGTATGTATCTGAGCATTGGGAGGAGGGTCAACCCCTTCTTCAATACTGAGCCTTCGTCTTTCTCTGAGCCTGTCCTCTTCATCTTCTGTAGAAGCCACGGAAGGATCAAATGCATCAAAGAGAGTTGAGTGGGGGCTCACTGGGGCTGTGTGCTGCTTAATTAGATGCCATTTTTGAGCCAGATCTGACCCAGGAGGGAAAGGACATTTCTCTAGCATTAGTTCAGAGAGATGGATCTTTCTTTTGTTAGAAAAGAGAGGTTTGGATGGTTTGCAGTACGTTCGCATGGGAAAACACAAGCCAACAGTATCCTGAAGTCTTTGTCGCAGAGAGCGACTCCCAATGGTCCTGCTTGAGACACTGTCCGTGTCATGAACAGAGCTCACGCCGTATCTTCTCTCCCTCCTTTGCAAGCGAGAACGGCCAAATCTTTTATCACTATCCAAAGAGCTCTGGGTTTTTGTCGAGCAGGAATGTTTCTTTTTCCCACCCCAGGGTGCATGCCTTGAGTAGGAATCTCTTCGTGCAAGTCTAGCACCTGTGCCAACACCCAAGTCACTCTCTCTCTCAAGGCTTATTTCCACAATTTGCGGGATCTCTGCGGCACAGTTTTGATTTTTCCTTGCAGAGCTTTTTGAAGGGTTTAGACTCAGTTGTAAAGAAACATCTCTTAAAGGGCTGCTGGGTCGTTGCGCAGCTGGATCAGGAACAAACACACTTTTATCTCTAACGGAAGAACAATTAGAGTTTACATCTACATTTTCACTTCTGTTTCCACCTTCAGAGTTGAAGAGATTCTGGCACCTGTACTTGAAGTTGTTCCACATCTTCCCAACTTTACCCATGGATTAGGTCACCTAAATTTCAAACACAGGAAGACAATATTTTAGTCAAGTCACCTGCTGAATAGAGACTCAAAATGAGTTTCTGAACACTTGTTAAGACAACTCATTAACAAAATGAGAAGCTAAGGGGGAAAGTTTATATTTTTATCGCTCCCCCTTATATACCCCAATGGAGCCCTCATGGCAGCTTACAATATAACAAATAGTTTAAATACTCCACACCCAAAATATTTAGGATTTTCTATTTATAATGAACACTTCAGTTTTTATGATATTCTATGCAATGGAGTGCAGAGGTTTCAGTTATAACTTTAGAAATAGGATAGGCTTTGGACAGGTGTATGTATAAGGTTGAAACTGAGGAAGAAACATTAGTGTCACCCTTTCCTTATTAAAATATTCATTTCATAGGCTTTCTTTTCTGCAAACAGAAATACTACAAAATGTAGGATAACATGCATGCTCATATAACCTCCATGGTGATGTTATTCAGCTACTGTTCCCAATTAAACCGAGCGTTCATATTCATTTAGATTTCCCATCTTTAGAAAAGGATAAAGTTATAGAACAAGAGGAAGATTTTGGATCATCTGTGACTAGTACTTTTAAAAATTTAGCTTACTAGCTTTTTAGGTGTTCAGTAACAGAAAGTTTCACACTAATGTACCACAAAAAATTATGTTTTAAAAAATGATAGTCTTTCTGCAACACTGGACTTTTGAGTAGAAAATATCAAAGCGAGGAGAATGCGATGGCAGAGCTAAAAACAACAGGATCCATAATATTCTTGAAAGTATTGGCAACCTCTGCGAAAAGATTCCTGTCAATCTGTAAGTACATTGAAGCAACAATTCTGAACGATGACCCGCAAAGCAGTTGGTGATCTGAGTTGGCTGATCATTTGAGCCGGCTGCCTGCTTCTCCCCCAGCTGCTGCTCAACATCAAAATACTACTAAATATACATCCCTTTTCTAAGATTAGTTTTCCAGGTAAGCAATTTTTGTAGTTGCCATTAAAATGATATAACATTGTAATACAGCCGATTTTGTTCTCAACCCAGGTTGTCCCACGCTTAACACTGTTATTTGACAGATGCTCATCTAGTATCTGTTTATAGTCACTTTATGCATTAGAGCAGTAGCGGGGAGCCTTCAGCCTAATTAGGCCCAGCAGGCATCCTAATTTGGGCCACAATCCTATTTTCCCCAAGTCACATCCATCAACCCCACATGACATCATATGTAAAGATAAAGACACGGGTGGTGCAAAGGAACCATAGGGAGCCTGTAAATGTGCTCCCAATTGCTCCTTGGTAAGCAAGTCTTGTATTTGGTACTTTTAAGATCTGCCACCAAATGCAAACCCCTTTTGGGTGGCATTGGTTCCACTCAGAAGCCCCCCAATTAGAGCCATGTTGAAAGCGGGACTTGAAGTCAGTACTAATCGCAGGCTGATCACCAGTCACTTCATGTCCCACTGGGATTGGCTACACTCCAGGGTTCCCAATCAGAAACTCTTGAGTGCAGCCAAGCCCCTGCCAAAAATGGAGCTTGAAGGACAGTGCTGATCAGCTGTAACTTCCAAGCACCACTTCTATTGGCTGGGACCTTCCTTTGCAAAGCTGCTTGAATGCAACCTGCACTGCAAAGGTAAAATTGATCACCTGGTGCCTTGCCAGTCCTGGGATTCCTGCTCCCTGTCCTGCTGGACTTCTCCCACCTAGCCTGAGAGGGTGGGGCCCTGATTGACTCCAGTCACAAAAGCTGAGGCTGCTGAACAGACTCTTGGTTTGGGGTATTGTTTGTGGGCTTGTGTCACTGTTATGGGTATTAATTCTTTGTATCTTTATTTTCAGATCTTTTCTGATTTATGCGAAAATTGCCTGGTTGTGTACTTTTTGATGTGTTTTATTTATAAATGACTTTTGTTGTGTTTGTGATTATGTAAATCTTTTCATGCTGTAAGCAGCCTTGAGCATTGTTATAGCTATGGAAAGGCAGCATGCACAAAATGATGGTGGCAGTGATGGTGATGTCAGGGAATTCACAGGTAGGCAGCCCTGCCAACATGTCCAAGTTGCTTACAGAAGGTGGAGGAGCACAGTGTGTCAGCCAGATATCTGCATCAGTGTATCATGCATGCCATTTTTGTGTGGTTGAGGCCCACAGAGCACAAATTAACTGGGGAGCCACATTGGATGGGGAGATGGCACAAACTTGTTCTGCTTTGACAGGGTTTTCTATCTACCCCAATATTTGCTCTTAAAATGAAAACTAGAGCTGAATGTTTCTAGTTTCTGCAACTGTAAATTGTGATCAACCTTCCATTAAGGTATTGGCTGAGCAGGCAGCTTCCCCCTAGCAACAGGGCCATTTCAAAGACAAACTCTTTATTGAGTCAGTCTAATCAATACCATTGTGTGATTCGCCATTCATCCTCCCTCCCCAGCACTTAGTCAGTTTCTCCTTGTTACTTGTGGGTAGTCCATACGTTGTGATTTATTAGATGCCTGTTCCCTAAAAGGTCTCCAAGCAACTTAAATTTAAAACAATAATTATAAATACATTAAACTATTTAAAAAGTATATAATAGATTAATATTATCATACAAACACCTAGAATACATACACAGACGTACAAAAATGGTTCCCCACTACAACCACATTAGACAGCACACTAAGAGTAGTTATTTGATGACTGAGATAATGATGGCTGCAAAGTGAACATAGATTTCCCAATTTCACAGAATTCAGGCCCAATAGGAAAACACAGGAAGAAAATTGATACTATGGGTTCAGCTTAGAAGCAATGAATTTGAAATAAATGTGAAACTGTAAAGGCGTAATATACTTTGACAGAGCATGGCTTGAAGAGAGACATTGGTGCCCAATATGCTATGTCAACTGGCAGGGGTCCACAATTCACAGGGGCCACCGGCCACCAACCACAAACGTAAGCCCTAGTCTTCCACCTAACCTTGGAGCTAGGGGTTATTCACATAATGTACTGTGCATTGGAAGCACAGCACAGTCATTATGGGGCCAATCTGTCTTACTCCAAAGTTAAAAAGAAAGGTCCTACAGGACCCTGGAATTTCTTTTTCTGTTTCTCTAAGAGCTCTAAGAGTCTATGAAGCAAAGCACAGAAACAAGCCACTACCCATAACCAAGCTTTCTTTCCACTATGAATGAATTTACCCCATAATCTCTGCCAAACTTGTTGTTAAAGCATTATACTTACTAAGGTGAAAGATAAAGGACCCCTGGACGGTTAAGTCCAGTCTAAGGCGACTATTGGGATGAGGCATTCATCTCGTTTTTAGGCCGAGGGAGCCGGCGTTTATCCACAAACAGCTTTCCGGGTCATGTGGCCAGCATATCTAAACCGCTTCTGGTGTAATGGGACACCGTGACAAGTGCCAGAGCTCACAGAAACACCATTTACCTTCCCGCCGCAACGGTACCTATTTATCTACTTGCACTGGCGTGCTTTTGAACTGCTAGATTGGCAAAAGCTGGGACAGAGCAGTGGAAGCTCACCCCATTGTGCAGATCTGAACTGCTGACCTTCCGATCAGCAAGCCCAAAAGGCTCAGTGGTTTAGACCACAGCGCCACCCACGTTCCTATTATAGTTATTTGCAGGGCCTGAAATAGTGAAACGTGGGAGGATTAAAATCTTCACAGCCACAATGTCGCCCAACCAAGAAAGGTTTAGACCCTCCCAGGATTTCAGTTCCTTGCCTAACAAGGGCTCAAAATTTGCTTTACTTAAAGAGTACAAGTTTTCTGTTATGAATATTCCCAGGTATTTCAGCTTTTGAGCTCCCACAATGCTTTGTATGAAAACTTGAGACCGTGTGAGGACCCCAATATACATAATTTCATATCTGGTTTCATTATGTGTAGGCCTGCCACTATCAAAATTATTCAATTCTTAGATAATTTCAAGTAATGCCAATTCTGGTTTTGATAACATGAGAGCTATGTCACTGGCAAAAAAAGGATAATAGTATGCATTTTACTTTTATTTTTTCTACACTTTCTACATTCACATTGTTTCTAATTACTATTACCAATGGTTCAATAGACAAGGCAAATGAAAGTGTGGACAAAGGGCATCCTTGTTTTACTCCTCTTTTTATAGGGGTTTCTGAGTCGAGAAAAATTACACTGACAGTAGCATAAGAACTTCAAAAAATGTATACTTCAAAAATTGAATTAATAAATCACTCTCCCATGTTAAGTCTATGTATCAGTGCTTTTAAAAATGTCGAACTCAGCCTTTCCAAAGGCCTTGTAAACAGCTAATGAGGTTACTGCAAGCGTGTTACCTTTCTTTTTACTATAATGAATGACATTCAATAGGTGTCACATTGGAACCACTATCTGCCAGCAAGGCATAAAGCTCATCTGGTCTGGGGAGATATAACCTGTAATAAACGTATTTAACCAGTTTGTTAAAATGCCTGTACAGTGGTACCTCAGGTTACATACGCTTCAGGTTACAGACTCTGCTAACCCAGAAATAGTACCTCGGGTTAAGAACTTTGCTTCAGGATGAGAACAGAAATCGTGCTCCAGCGGTGCGGCGGCAGCAGGAGGCCCCATTAGCTAAAGTGGTGCTTCAGGTTAAGAACAGTTTCAGGTTAAGAACGGATCTCCGGAACGAATTAAGTACTTAACCTGAGGTACCACTGTATATAGCTTAGCATCCTGGTTTAACAGGATAATTGGACAATATGATTCCACTAGGTCAAGGTTTTTCTTCAACTTTTTTTCAGTAGTACTGTTATTTTAGACTGATGCCTGGAAGTTCCCCCTGAAAGAACTTCATTCAACAACTGGCTAGATGGGGATATAATTCATTGTAAAAATGTTTAAAGAATGCTCCTGTAAAACCGTCACCTCCCAGTACTTTGTATCCTTTTAGTTTTTTTAAATAGTCATTTGCACTTCCTCCAGTTCAATTGATTTATTCAAAGACTGCATTTCTAACTGTAGTAAACAGAGT